CTTTGCTAAAGTAAGGAAACTTTGTTTCCTTTGCTGCTGCATTTCTCAGAGGCACGCGCTGCGCATACGTCCTACGTCATTAGCCTGAACGTCCTCCGTGTACCACAGTCAGCGGAAGTGAGAAAAAAGTGTTTATTACATTTGAAATATGGATATTTATCTTACAAAAACACATGGATTCACTACAGGAGGCCTTTATTCACCCCCCGAAGCCATGTGAGGGACGTTTTATCATGGATGTGCGCACTTTATTTCACGTCTTCTGAACTGTTGACAACCAACACCCGCTTACCCCCATTGAAAGGCTTGGAGGAGCCAGGACAATTTTTAATATAACTCCAATTGGATTCGTCTGAAAGAAGAAAGTCACATACACCTAGGATGCTTTGAGGGTAAGACACAGGCTAATTTTCATTTTTGGGTGAACTAACTCTTTAACGCTCGCTGGTTGGTGATAAATGCATTGTGGGATACCTGGCTGCCTCAAGTTCGCACAAGTCACCTCTTGATGCAAAAGGGGCGGAGCAAGAACACATTCAGGGATTTGAACTGTACTTGGCTAGATGTGAACTTCGAACCGTCGCGAAACGTGGATGGCCGAAGTATACTTTGGGCTAAAGTACAATTTTTTTTTTTTTTAAAGAAATAAATACTTTTATTCATCAAGGCTGTATTAAGTATATAAATGCAGCCTTGGGAAGCATAAGAGACTTCTTTCAAAAACATTTAAAAATCTTACCAACCCCAAATGGAATTGAATGGAATTGAATGGTAATGAGATTTTCAGCAAATAATGATTTAATTTATTTTTTAATGACTTTTAGAACACTTTCAATATAGTGCATAAATTGCACAGATGACAATTATTTTTGTAATTTCTGGAGCTCAATTCGCTTTAATTGTATAGATCATTGTGTTTTGTTTTCCAGAAAAAAGATACATGTGTTTAGAATGACACAAGGCTGAGTAAATGATGACAGAATCTTGCGCTCCAGGGGAATATGCCTGTAATAAATGTACTGCAACTCACTTAGGATAAAATTGCCAGTCAGATGACTAATGAGTAATCAATAAAGAAAAAAAAAGAAAAAGAGCTTAAACCGCCACAAACCTCTGAAAATACTCAAGCGTGATATGATCGTGCAATGACTGTTTGTCTGACAGTGACTGAATTCAGAACACGTTTCATTTGACTGGGGTGTTTGAGCAGGTTTGTTAGCGCTCTGCAGTATATCACATACACTGAAGCAATTGTGATGAGCACCCCCCACCCACTCACTCTCTCTCAAACCAATGCATGAAACCACGCTTCCCACCAACAGGCGCATTTCCTGTTTGACTGCTTGCTTCAGAGCGAGACGACAAAGAAGGGAGACCTGATGAATAAACAAACCACCTCAAACAGTCTGAGGAAAGAGGTTGAGTTCAATTTTAGGGACTCTTTACTAATGCTGTGAGCAGGTCACAATGGAAAGAGCAGCAGAGAGTAACCGTCCTCGTCTTATTTTGAGTCAGTGCAGCAGTGAGTGCCTGAGAAATCTGAGGCGATTCAGTGAGAAAAGGAGTTGTTACACTTACGTTTTAATTCAGTTTTAGTTCTGTCCAGTGTCAATTTGCCAAACTGACACTTAGGTTTGTAAGACTTGAATCAATCTGCTGACTGGCATTTGACAATGGTATAATTATGATACATATTCAACATTTCAGGGGAAAAAAATTCATAGCTATTTTATTAAATATTTAAACATTAAAAATATTTCATTCAAATAAAAATATTTAATAAATTTATTTGGAGTAAAACTAAAGGTGGGTGTCATATTATACAGTATTATTCAGCAAAATAATTTAGAATGTTACAAAATATTTCTATTTCAAATGAATGCTGTTCATTTGAACTTACTCTTCATCAAAGAACCCTGACACTGAAGACTGCAGTAATGATGCTGAAAATTCAGCTTTGCATCATAGGAATAAATTACATTTTAAAATATATTACAACAGAAAATTGTTCTTTGAAAGTGTAATAATATTTCACAATATTACTGCTTTTACTGTATTTTGGATCAAATAAATTCAGACTTGGTGAGCATAAGAGACTTCAAAAACATAAAAAATTTAAATGACCGCAAATGTTTGAAAAGTACTGTGTAGCTGATTAAGGTCCTTTATATTTTTATTTTCAAAATTGTATTTATTTAAATGTATTAATTTATTTATTTGCATGATATAATATTGAATACAACTTTTTTTTAATTGAGAAAGTATAATTTTTTTCTTTTTGTGAAATATGTGAAACATCCTTAAAAAGTCAGAAATAAATAAAAGAACTAAAGCCCTTCTGAATAACCCTTTTTTCTGTCATTTGTCAACTAAAAAAGTAATACATGTAATGAGGGTAATTTTGTTAATCGGTTTCATATACAATTCCTAATCTCAAAACACAGCAAAATATACAGTATATATCTCAAAATATTTTTTTCTGCACTGCAGGAAAGACCTATAACTGTTTTGTACCTGTAATTCAAATTGGGATAAATAGTCCTGATATTATCTTACAACACCGGCCTAATCATATTGATGCAGATGAAAAATAGCAGCGTTATACAGTGCATCCCTAGTTGCAGTGGTGTTTTACGCACTAATGGTGGACCAACATGGTCGACCTGTCGGTTATCAGACAGAAAACATTGTAGTAATGGCGCATTAGAGCAAAGTACGCAGCAGAGGAGATGAACAGATAGCATGAGTGACAGTGATGTGAAATGAAAGCGATTGAATCGGGGGAAGAGGTGGGG